GAGCCGAAAGCATTACTCTTTTTTCAAAAAGAATCTGTTGAATTCAACCTTAAGCCTGGTTAGGAAGTGTATGCTACTTCCTTATTTGACTCAAGGAGCTTGGCATTTGTTTATTGTAAGTAAAGTCTAGTTTATTCATCAGTTTTGGTCCAACAAAAATCTACTTTAATTCTGTCTGACTACTTTCTCTCTAAAACTTCACAGAGCTTTTTGTAATACATCTTTAAAAGGCATATTTTAAACAGAACAACAATGGTAAAATCTCTCATGTAAAGTTTTACCTGTAGCCTTAAGAATATCTGTGTGAAAGGCTCCATCCTTACAAGGTAAGAGGCTACAATCATTGCAGATGAATAGTGGGTCCCATAGTGGTAAGCTGGAGTTTCTCCTGTTCGAGAAAATTAAACATAATTAAAAACAAGAGAGGAAATATGAAAATAAAATTGGAACAACGTATAGGCTTGAAAATGTGTCAGTGGTAACTGTGACCTTCAGTGCAGTTAGCACTGGCATTGTCATAGGAAAAGTTCCTGCTGACACCACTATCTGTTATTTACATGTCTGGCAGTAATCCAAAGTAAGTATAAATCAGTAGCCTTTCCCAAAAAACTCCGGACATCTATCAGTTTCATGTGTTGAGGCTTACTGTAATAGTTAATATAACCCTTAATAATAAATCATCTTCCACTAAAACAGAACATTGACTTACATCTGCTTTTTATTAGGTTCTGGCTTTAAAATGAATGTATTTTTCCAAATTGTTGTCAGTGAATTTTATGTATTTTTATCACTGATTTTCTTTGGCAGACAGGGATTAAAAAAAAGAGTCCACACAAGAATATTATTAGGCTTAGGCGTTTTCCCCTCCTTTGTTTGTTTGCCCTCTTTGAGGGGGAAATACAATGAATGTTAAATATAATAAATAACTTTTTTTAATGCAAAAAGTACCTTAATAAAACTGGGGGTCAATAAATCAAAGTGTGGTTCCTGGACAAATGATTAGAGAGAGAGGCAGAGTATGCTGGGAGATTTCTGCCCTACGCATGGCAGACATCCTTTGTCTCCTACTCTGACAAGCCACCTAAAATGCCTAAGCTGGCATGCAAAACCTGTTTTGCTACTCTGAAAACCTGCATCTATGCGCATGTAACCTACCTACATAGATACTGTGATATGTGAACAATTTGAGGAAGGATGCAGGAATGCCAGATCACTAAATAATGGGTTACTCTTAAAATGCAGGTACAAAGTCCAATGACAGAGAAAGGCACTTGCCGTTAGGATCCTCCCAGTCTTTGTATCGCTTCTTATATTGAGCCAGTCGTTCATCTGTTTGTGCTCCCATCGGCTTTGCCAAGTTTCTAAAAGTCTTGGGGTTAGTGAGATCTACTTCCTAAAATACAAAAGAAAACTCTCTGTTCTTACCAGTGTAGACACAGTGGCTACTGTGGACAATGATGACTTGTAATGCAAACTGGCAGAACTGAACTCCAAAACCATCCTCTGTACCCACTGCTGATCCACGCTGTACAGACAGGCACATGGCAGTTTGGGAACTGACTCAGTCTGAAGATGGCTGTTTTGGAAATTATGTGTTCCACGCAGGAAGGCACTCAGGATCCAGGTTTGGGGTTGGGAGGAGAGGAAGAATGGTACTACGTCTTGTTGAAAGCTCCAGTCCATCTTCTCCTCTGTCGCTCACATAAATGGAGAATCAAATCTCCTCTCTGCGTCTACCTAGTCCCTACCCCTTCCCCGTCTCCTTCCAAATTCCTTCTGAGCATTTTCTTCTGTGAGGTGATCTGGGAGGGGGATAAACTAGAGCACCAGGCAATTCATTCACCTCTGAAAGACAACATCGTACCAAGTCGAGTGACTTCCAAATGCGATGGATTCTTTTAGGCTACCAAATTATTTTAATAGCTCTTCTTCAGCTGACCTAATTAATATCCTTAGAAGGAAATCAAAATTTACTCACTGAGGGTGTTAAAAGTAAAAATCTAAAACATGTGCCTGTGGGATTTTCAATTTTCCTCCTTTTTATGGTGCATTGTGATTGACTAATTTTGCCAAAACTTGTATTTTAAAAATCTTGGGCAGGAGAAACTAATTTTTCATTTATGAATGTAAGTCAAACTAACACGTGTCCTCTCAAAGGACATGAGAAGCACCTTATTTATAACATTTTAGTTAGTTCCACAAAAATTTAAGTTTCTTCTTAGTACTAGCCACTGTTCTAGGGTTGGGAATTGAGAAATACATAAGGTAGTCTATGTGTTCAAGGCTCTTTCAATCATGGGATAAGACAATTAGCATGATTACAATATACTGTAAAAGAAAATATCATAATTTGAAAGATTAAAAAAAAAAATAAGACCATGATACAGCTCGAACGCAGTGTGGGCACAGAAGAGGGCAAGAACAGAAACGGCACCTGAAATGGAGCTCTCCGGGTGAGTCAGGGAGACAAGATGCGCAGGACAGGCGGGCGTGGGGAGGACAGACAGGCTGGGCTGTGGCGTGGGGAGGACAGACAGGCTGGGCTGTGCGGGAAAGGCTGCTGAGGCCTGAGAGAGGGAAGGGAGGGGTCGCAGGACGGCAGTTCCAGGAGGAAACGAGGAACACACAGGCAGGAGATACATGGAAAAGGTTGCTACACTGAGGCTTTTCAACTCCCTCCCAAATTATGATTCACTGAATAATTTCAAAAGGGGGGGAAGACTCACTTGGATTTGTGTTTCTGAAACTGGCTGCAGAGTAGAGGACAGAGTAAAGGAAGGAGGAGTGGACAGCAGAGAAAGTCTAGTTAGGAGGCTGTTGCAATGTCCAGTGAAGATACAGAGGGCCTGAAATGAGACACTGGCTATGCTGAGGGAGAAAAAGGGAGACACATCTTGGCTCCAAAGTAGACAGGGGCAGTAGGGAAAGGACAGTCTGCAGCTTAGACAGTGTGGAGTGTGGTGCCATTTCCTCAGATGGGGAATACAGGGTGAGGATCACAATTACATCCAGAGAACGAGGTATAGAATTGGAAGTTCAGCGATGGGACCTGTAAAGGTGGACAGAGTTTTCTATTCCCTCTTAACAAAATTGCATTCTTTTGGGACCTCCCATCTCTTTAGAAATCTGTATTTTTTTCTAAGTTTCCTTGATTGACTTAAAGAAAGAATATTTTCATTTTATTCATCTTTACTCTTGATTTCTTCTTTTCCTTCTATTACATTTTTTTTTTTTTTACCCAAAGGCACATTAGGTATGCATATTAACTACTCATGTGTATATACAGATTCACACGTCAAATGCGCTAAAATATACCCATATGTACATAAAGCTAATTTCCATTCTTTCATTAGACTAAAACTTGCTGAAGGCAGAAGAAAAGGCTTTATGTTTCACCCTGATATGCTGATGCATAATATGTCTGAAAATACAAGCAGCCCTGACTCAAGTTAATGAGAGGATACAATGATTTTGTGAATTTTAAGAATGATTAACCTGTTTATCAAGAGCCAAGCCTCTTTTGTTTTGCCTATTATTGTTCCATTTCAGAACTAATCAGGTCTCTGTCAGACAGGAAGCAAAGGAAGAGAAAAAGGATAACATTTACATCCATTTTAGCTGTTCTGTTTTTTGTTGTTGTTGATGTTGCAGTTGTCATTGTTATTTAGCTGGGCCAGGCCAGGCCTGAACCTGCCAGCCTTGTTGTATGTGGCCGGCACCCAACCCAATGAGCTACGGGTGCCACCTTTATTTTTTCTTTATATTATTCTTCCTGAGTTGCTTTCTTCTTTACACCATTTTTTCCTAATTTCTTTTTCTTCTTTTTTTTTTTTTTAAAGACAGGATCTTGTTATGTTGCCCAGGCTGGTCTTGACTTCCTAGCTCAAGCAATCCTCCGACCTCAGTTGTCTTCCAAGTAGCTGGGATTACAGGTGTGCATCACCATGCTTAGCCTGTGGTTGAGTTTGAATTCAAGTCATGTACATGATAAACTGTTAGAAATTTTCTTCCAAGGCTTCTTGGGCTGGTACTAAAAATTTCTTCTATGTGGTGGAAGAGTCACTTAATGTTTTCTTGGCAAACATTTCAAAGTACGCAGAGGGATTTGGACATCCAGTAATAAACGCAAATTCATCAGCACTTAAGGAAACGGAATACACATTATGAATTGTATCTAATATCCAGTAAGTGGGTCAATTATTCGAAGTTTTTATATGTCCAAGCTAAACTTTTTTTAAAATTAGTGCCTGTTGAGAATACAAAACTATAAAGCAAATAAAATATTGAGGCAATTGCAGTATTCTTACTTTATTTTTGAAAATGTGTTCCGCTTAGGGAAAATGACTTGAGATTTACCTCTGAGTCGTAATCTGCAAGGATCCAGGGGAAGACAGGATACTGCATGAGGTCATTGTATGATCTGCCAGCCAGAGTGTTCAAGTGCATCAAATACTGGAAGTTGCTGATTTCACCTCTCTTAGAAAAGACAAGATTCGTGTTTGGAGCAATCAATTATTCCCACCATATTCACTTTTTAAACATTTTACATGCAAACTGAAGGAAAGGACAATTTCTTTTTAACAGGTTTTAGAATAATGAAACACTTTTCCTCCTAAAAGAAAACATTTTCTCTTTGGTATGTATTTTATGTATTAGCATTAAAGTGATTTTAACTGTATGACTTGTATCGTAACTGCAAATTACTAGGGAAGCAGGTGGAGCCAGTGAGCTTACCTCCCATCTCTGCGTCACAGACTTCTCTCCAACTAAAGTGCTAAGCAATCCAGATCTAAAAAACAATACACAATGAAATAAATTAAGCAACATAGTTTTAAACTATAGGTTTAAAAACTTGAAGTCACCTGGACCAGGAACTTTTCAAATTACAAAGGCTCTATCAGTGGGTCATAAAATCAGTTCAGGATGTTATGATTAGCATTTTGAAATATGAAATAACAGAACTGGACTGAAGAAACCAGAAAATATAAGAGGATATCACATATAGTAAGGGAAAGTATTTTATGTAGATTTTGTCTTAGTACTTGTGAATCAGTTTGTATGTCTTAGAATGAAATATAGTATAAATTTCTTAACTGTCAAAAGAGTTGAAAAAAATTGATCTAGTCCAACCTTCTAAGTTTTTTTTTTTTTACTATAATCCATATGTAAACCTATCCAAAGACATTTAATTAGAATAACTGAAATATTACACAATATTTTATACATAGATATATAGTTCATTGGATAAATAAATGACAATATGAGTATTTTATGACAGTTAAGACAATGCCATTCTAGTCGTTAAAACTTACATACGGCTC